CATTTCAAATCTCTGACTCGGTTGTCTATTCAATTCTTTTTGCATGCTTTTCTGTGATATCCACATGACTTTTGTTGAGTGAAGGGCAATATAGCAGATTCTTCCATGGTTGAGCTCTCAGTTTCTTTTACTCTGTATTTTGACCAGCTATGAGTCTTTGCCTTAATGGCAATACTGTGAAAAAGAAGTGTATCAAGAGATATTGAGGCCATTATTAGAAAAAGTACAGAGACAACTAGTCAAACTAGTGGACAAACATGAACTGTGCACCAATAGCTGAAGAGCCCCTGTGGTACTGGACTAGGCCCACTGGATAAGTGAGACAGTTTTAGTTGAACTGAATTGGGGGCCCACATGCACTGGGACCAGGACCTGTCCTTAGTGCATGAGCCTGCTTTAGAGAACCTAGGGCCTATGCTGAGACACTTTGCTCAGCCTTGGTGCAGGGAGGAGGGGCTTGGACCTGCCTCAACTGAATCTGCAAGGGTGGGCTAACTCCCCAGGGGAGACCTTGCCTTGGAGGAAGTGGGAATGGGGGGTTGTTTGGGTGGGAAACTGGGAGGTGGGAGAGGGAGGACAGGGCAATCTGTGGTTGATATTTAAGATGAATAGAAAAATCTCTTAACAATTAAAACAAGAAAAAGAAAAAGAAGTGTCTCTGACCAAAGTTGAGAGTGACCCAAATCTAAGGGTATAAACACAAATATTCAGAAGACAGATTGTAGCATGGCTGTTAAATATAACAATAGCAGTGTGTTCACACCTAGTAGCTGTGATTTCCCTAGTTATAGGCTTTGGCCTTGTAAGTATGAAAGACCTCCTGTACAGTAGGCTTCATACTGAAGTAGAAGGTTCTTGGTTACTCTGTAACAGTCATGTCACTGTTAATACCAGTGGGCAAATTTCCCAAGCAGGCCAATATTGTAGCATGCAGGACCTAGCAGTGAGGGACACAATTTGTCTCTTGCTCTTTGCTGCTTCCATTGCACCTCTGGAACTGTGTAAGCTAGCTAGAAAAACGTTGAGTGATGTGTAGCTAGAGTTTTCCTGCCTTGCCCACAGGCAGGACAATCCTTGTCACCTGCCAGTGCCACAGCCGCTCAGACACAACCAAGTAAACACAGAGACTTATATTTCTTTCAAACTGTATGGCCGTGGCAGGCTTCTTGCTAACTGTTCTTATATCTTAAATTAATCCATTTCCACCAATCTATACCTTGCCACATGGCTCATGGCTTACTGGTACTTTACATCTTCCTTGTCCTGGTGGTGTCTCCAGGCAGTCTCCTTCTGCCTTCCTGTTCTTTTATTTTTTCTCTCTGTTAGTCTCGCCTATACTTCCTGCCTAGCCACAGGCCAATCAGTATTTTATTTATTGACCAATTTGAGCAACTTGACATACAGACCATTCCCCAGCACAGCCAAGTGCAGACCATCTAAGACACCTTCACTCAGGCCCCTGGTCCTAATCATCCTCTATGCGGACCTGCTGGGTAAAGCCATGAGGAACCCAAGAACGGGCTTCCACAGGACATACAGAACATCCTACAGCAGTGATGTCTTCAAAAAAGTTTTACCATCTAGTTATATTTCAAAAATAAGTGCGGTGGCTGTTGCCTGCATTGTTTCAGGTGATTCTCTGACCAAAACTTGTAGGGAGGAAACTATGCTGGGCACACATTTTCATTTACTGACTAATACCTTTTGAAAACATCATTGTTCACATGTGGAGAAACCTCTTCTCCAAACACTTTTCAATATACATTATATTTCTAATTAGCTTGCAAACTCGTGTATTTCCACAAGGCTTCTGCAAATATCCATACATATATTTCAACATCCCATCCCCATCCTCACTTAAACTTTTAACCTGGATTATCCCAACCACCTATTTCTCATTACCTGTGTTTTACAATCCACTCTAATTATACAGTATATTACACAGGTGGCTATTTTATAGGTTTCTGTATAGTATTAGATACACCCTTCATTTTGATTAGGCATTCCACCACTCCTTCATTTTCCCACCCCTCTCCTTTCAATGTTTTATTTATTTCCTCCTCC